TAATGATAATAATAATGGTAATAATGATAATAATAATGATGATGAAGATGAAGATGATGATGATGAAGATGATGATGATGATGATGATGATGATGATGATGATGATGAATAATAATGTAACAATAATGATAATAATAACAAAATAGACCAAAAACGCGCCGCCCAGAAGACGCAGAGGCAGAAGACGACCCACCTAAGAGATAATCCGTGTATCTCGGATCCACGCCGTCGAACTGGGCCTTATTCCACACGTACTCGGCATGGAGGTCACGTGTCTTCTTGTCGTGGACCCAAGCATCTAGAAGATTCCTCCCGTCGGTCCTTCGTCCTCTCTGGTCGCGCTCCTCTCGGTCAAATTCGGTCATGGGAATCCAGTGGCGACGACCTCCTCCCAGTAGCACCTGCAGGAGAAATAGGTTATGTGGGGATTGTGTGTAGGTCTGTTGTGAACGGTGTTATGTTGGGCAGTTATAGGTCGAGGCAATAGAGGTCGAGGTCGTATGCATTTTTATTATTATTTTTGAATCTTTTATTTATTTTTTATTTTTTTAATTTACTATTTATTTATTATTATTATTATTTATTTTTTTTTTTTTTTTTTTTTCAAAAGGGTCATGTTCAGGTAATTATGAACGTCGGGGTCATAGCAGGTCGAAAAGAAGTCATGTTAGGACCATTATACACGGCCCTGGGTTACCCCAGGTCGGGGTCGTATCTTTTATCGCCCATCCGGGTTACATTTGGAAAGGGAAATTAAGCCATTGGGGTTGGTTGTAACGCTGGAGGAACCCCCCCCCTCCCCCTCTTACTCACAGGTTATGTTATGGCTTTTTTCGAAAAAGTAAAAGCTGCCTTTTTTCTTTCTTTTTGTTTTTTTCTTTGATTTTTTTTCGAGATATGTTAAATTGATTATGAAAAGAGAAATCATTATATGAATAAGAAAGAAAGAACGCAAAAGACTAGAAAGAAGAAAACACACACGCACACACATACACACTCATATACGTACCTGAAAAAATATACATACATATTTATGTGTGTGTGTGTGTGTCTCTGTATATGGGTATGATATATACAATATTATATGCATACATGTATGTATATATATATATATAATATATATATATATATATATATATATATATATATATATATATATATATATATATATATATATATATATATATATATATATATATATATATATATATATATATATATATATATATATATATATATATATATATTTATATATATATATATGCATATATACATGTATATATATATATATATGTGTGTGTGTGTGTGCACACAAATACATACATACATACACACACACACACACACACACACACACACACACACACACACACACACACACACACACACACACACACACACACACACACACACACACACACACATATATATTATATATATATATATATATATATATATATAATATATATATATATATATATATATATATATATGTATATATGTGTACATAAACATATATCTATATCTATCTATCTATATTATATATATGTGTGTGTGTGTTGTATGTGAATAAAAGAACTAAACAAGAGTCACGGACCGACGCCCGCGAGTGCAAGGCGCATAAGAGTCAACCTCTCTTTGCCAGAAAGTAGTTTGAATACTTATATTCCTTTCGAAATGAGAAAGTTTCGGTGACGGAACACACTCACTAGGTAATAGCAAACTAAAGTCATTTTGCTCCGGATTCTTACGTCGACAAGAATGGGAAACGTCTCATAAGCTTTCTCTAAAGGGAACCCCGCTTCGGAATAAAAAGAGAAAGGGAAAAAAGAAAAAAGAAAAAAGAAAGGAAAAAAACACCCAATACAAGTTGGGCTTCCTGTTTATCGCCGAGTTTCGTCATCTCCGCAATAAAGGCAAGATGGTTGAATTGGGCGGGAATTTATGTCAGTCTGTTCTATGAATACACAATAATACATACATACATACATACACACATATATATATATGTATATATATATATATATATAATATATATATTATATATATATATATATATAATATATATTATATATATATATATATGTATATATTATATGTATATATGTATATATATAGTATATATATATATATATATATATATATATATATATATAATATATATATATATATATATTATATATATAATATATATATATATATAATATATTATATATATATATATATATATATATATATTAATATATATATATATATATATATATATATATATCTACTATTCTCTCTCCTCTCTCTCTCTCTCTCTCTCTCTCTTTCTCTCCCTCTCTCTCCTCTCTCTCCTCTCTCTCTCTCTCTCTCTCTCTCTCTCTCTCTCTCTCTTTCTTTCTTTCTCTCTCTCTCCTCTCTCTCTCTCTCTCTCTCTCTCTCTCTCTCTCTCTCTCTCTCTCTCTCTCTCTCTCTCTCTCTCTCTCTCTCTCTCTCTCTCTCTCTCTCTCTCTCT